CAGTCATCTCGGCGTAGTTGCGCGAGTACTTGTGCAAGTACGCCGCTAGACCAAGGAACTTCCTTAGTCCCTTGACATCGACTGGCACTGGCCAGTCGGTGATCGCCTTGATCTTTTCGGGATCAGGGCGGACGCCGTGTTTACCCACGATGCACCCAAGAAGTGGTATTTCGCTAGCCGCGAATATACACTTCTTGAGGTTGGCTTACAACTTATACTTGCGCATAAGTTGAAGAACCTGACGAACGTGAGTTCTGTGAACTTCAACGTTCGTCTTCCCGTCCATATCCCGGCTATGGACGAACACATCGTCGAAGTAACTCGGTGCGAAGTCTCGCACCGGTCCCAACAGATTTGTAACACATCTGTTGAATGTTGCAGGGGCATTGCTCAGCCCCTGTGGCATCACTAGCCACTCCCACAGCATCCCGCTGGGGGTTCTCACTGCCGTGAACGGTATGTCCCGCTCAAGCATGAGGATCTGATAGAATCCGTCCATCAGATCCATGGACGAAAAGATGGTACTCTTTGACATACCATCTATGATTACGTCCTTCCTCGGTATCGGCGTCCTAGCCGGTACCGTTGCAGCATTCAACTTGTTGGATGCGTGCACTATCCGCCATCCTTCTGTGGCTTTTCGCACACAGAAGGTCGGAGAGCTGTGAGGGGAAGTTGATTCCCTCACATGGCCCTCAGCGAAGCGATCGGCAAAGAACTTGTCTATCGCTATTACCTGTTTACGAGGCAGTGGCCACTGCTTCATGACACAGTACTTCGAGCCCGGTTTGAGCTCGATCTCGTGTCGAGTGCCTTCGTCTTTAGGCAACTCGCGAGGTACGGATTCAGGGAACACATCCCTGAATTCGATCAAATCCTTATACAAAGGATTTGCCTGAAGCGACTCCCAGGATTGAGACTTGTATCGCTCAATCCGAGTCTTCTCATCGAGGACACTTTCGTCCATCGATGAGCTGCTGAGAACCCGTTCGTTCTCAGCAAATACTGTTGCCGACCGAATGTCGGTCACATACTCATCCTCTGTGACGAGTATGCAGATCTGCTTGACTTTGCCACTACGCAGATCACGCAAGAACCGTTTCGGTTCTAGCGTTGGCAACTGAGTTATCTCCGAAGTTGACTTCGGAGGCACAATCAGATCAAGCGTATAAGCGCCTACGCTTGATCCGTCATTAACCAAGACGTTCAACGTCTCGATTTCTTCCTGGGAACTTGCTTCCACAGGTTGCTGAGGGCCTGATCCCTCAGCAAGCGACTCTTGAGGAATTCCTTCCTCAAGTACGTGGGGACTTATTCCCTCGACGTCTTCCGACTGTGGCTGTGCAACCCCAGTCAGGCACCGATCCTCTACGGTCGACTCTCTAGTCGACCTAGGATTTTCATGTTGCCCCTTGGGGGCAACAGGTTTCTTTCTTCTAAGATGCTACCCGCTAGGCATGCATCCATGTCCCAGTCCACTCGACTTATTCGAGTGGTAGACCTTCGGCGCAGCCTGTACATCTGTACAGCTGCCGGGAGCTTGCTCCACAGTGTAGTGATCAACTACACTGTGATCTTGTGCAGTCGTGCTAACGACAGTACCGCAAGTGAGGCCATCGCACTCACTCGCAGAACATCCACACGCTTGTGGACGCTCCAAGATGTTCATCAGATGGCCATCTGATGAATAAGCGGCAGGCATCTTCACGGATCGATGCTGCCAGCTCACCCTTGGCTCGTACTTTCTGAGCCAAGGTAATCCCAGGATAACATCAAATTTGTCATCCAGATCTAGCACGATGAAGTCATCATCGTACTGTTCGCCCTCTAACGTCTATTGGATTCCGACTACACGTTTCTCAACGGTTATCGATGCGCCTGTTGCAAGGCGCACCGTCATCCTTGTGAGGGTAATGTCGCGCTCAACGAACTTGAGCCTACGACCCTCTAGTGACTGGCGACGAACAAAGTTGTTCGACGCCCCACAGTCTACTAGGGCACGAAGCGACAAATCATTTGTCGCTTCCAACTTCAAGGTGATGAGCGAAACGTCATCACCAGGTGCAGAGACAAACAATGATTGTGCATCTGGAGCAACTTTCGTCAAGAGATTTGCAAATTCTCTTGAGGTTGCTGGATCAGTAGGGCGCTCCGCCCCTACTGACCCCGACCATTTTTTGATGGTCCGTCTCGCTGTTGCGGCTTCGCAACAGCGCTGGACCCACGCCCATTGCCCTTTCTGTCAAATGGTCGTCCATTTCGCTCAGTAGTGTTTGGTACTGGGCGTGGAGCACTACACTCGTATGCGTAGTGCCCTAACTTCTGACAGCGATTGCACCTCTGTAATCGCTTGTTGTTCGAAGAGCGAGGTCTCTTGCTCTCAACATAGCAGAGGTCCATTGGTTCTGGGCCTCCGATCTCTTGTCGTCTTGGTGGACGATAAGAGTTTGAGCTAGCATGAGCCTGTCTCATGCTAAAGTCTTCCTGTTCCGCGGCTGATATCGCTTCTTCAAGCGTATTCAGCTCAAGGCGGAACAGATGGCTCCTGACGGGCCCTTCTGCGAGCCCTTGCATGAACACCGTAATCAACGTGTGTTCATGGACTGGGTTGGCAGTTACAATACTCGCTAGGAGTCGTATATGTTGTGCGTAAGCGTGCACATCACGCTTACCCTGCTTGAGTTTCAGGAGCTATGAACGAGCTCTGAACTCAGCCCGTGGCGGCTCAAACGTTTGTCTGAGCCGGGACTTGAAGTCATCTAGCGACCTAAACACATTTGGGTCGCTAACTCTAGAGTCCCAGGGACCAAGTTTTGGCACGCCCTGCCAAGTGGGTCTGAGCAAATGTGAGTTTCATTTGCTCATCTTCGACGCGACGAGCCCTTAGGGCTCTGTCGAGTTCGACAAACCACATTAACAGGGAGTCCTCTGGGACTCCAGTGTACTTGGAGATGTCAACTTTCATGACTTCGGGACGACGCGCATGCGCCGTCCCGCCCACAGCAGCATGGAATTGCTGCTGTCTCAACAGCTCCGTCTGTTGAGCACCGAGTTCTCTCAACTGCTCGGCCTGTTGAGAGCCTTGCTGGTGAAGCAAGGCTACTTTCTCCCTCTCGAGAGCAAGTTCATTCTGAATGAACTTGGCGATAGCGGCATGTTGTTGGTCTCTGTATAGAGACTCCAACATGGCGCTAACGACGAGTTCGCCTACGGTAGAACTCATTCGTTCTACCGCACCCCATTCGATGTCACTCAAATGGGTAAACCCTTCACGCGTGGCGTGAAAGGTGTCTTCTTCATCCAACATGAACATGTTGGATGATGTGGTCCTTGGAAGGACTACAAAGTGCTACCAGGTGTAACGGGGCACACCCTTGCGTAACTTAACGCAAGGGATTTGGGTGCCCCGACGGACGTACACGTGGCGAGCGAGGAAGCGTAGGTAGGGTAAAAGTAGAACTGTTATATTAATAAATTAAGTCTTTAAACTACTGTCTCTTCGTTTGACTTAATTCAATTATACTAATATAACTGCATGTATGGTGACGTCTCGTCACCACTCATTGCGCGCGTCTTGCGGCGATTGGTGGGTTGATATCATCACGATATCAACCAATGAACAGACCCTTTAATCGACCCTTCAATATCACCACTTTGGTGATATTGTTTAAAGAATATCCATCTTATATTCTTTATTGTCACTTTCCTTAAGTGACAATATCATGTAACGGGCTGCCCCGTTACAAAGGCACATACATACTCTTGAGCACCTTGTGCTGTCGATTTACTTACCGTCAAGTCCCTTTAGCCAGGACTAAAGTGATGAAGGCTTCCTGACTCGTTGAGTCGTTGTCGCAGAAATGGCTGACTCTTAGAGTCGTCGTTGTACACGCTTGTTGTAACGGGCCACACCCTTGCGTAACTTAACGCAAGGGTTTTGGGTGCCCCGACAGACGTACACGTGGCAAGCGAGGAAGCGTAGGTAGGGTAAAAGTAGAACTGATATATTAATATAATTAAGTCTTTTAACTACTGTCTCTCTGTTTGACTTAGTTTAACTATACTGATATAACTGGATGTATGGTGACGTCTCGTCACCACTCATTGCGCGCGTCTTGCGGCGATTGGTGGGTTGATATCATCAAGATATCAATCAATGAACAGACCCTTTGGTCGACCCTTCAATATCACCACTTTGGTGATATTGTTTAAAGAATATCCATCTTTATATTCTTTATTGTCACTTTCCTTAAAGTGACAATTTCATGTAACGGGCTGCCCCGTTACACTTGTCGAATCGTCGAGTCGTTACATTTTCTACGAGCAAAGTAGCTCTTTGAGCCTAAACTTTGTCTATCAAGGAGCTGTGGTAGCTTCGCTACAGCTGTCTCTCCACATCCATACTCATCAAATCCACCAAGGCTATAGCTACACACAAATGCTTTGTCAAACCAGTTACATCAGGACAAAAGAGATAGATGCGATGTGGCCTAACAGACGAACGATAAGCAACACTGTCACGATGAGCTTGAAGCGGCATTGTACGTTTCCCTTTCTGCAAAGTGACTGTTGACGGTGAGAGTCGCAAAGTTTCACACCGATGGATAAGAAAGGGAGATGGAGAAGATATACGTGGATGCACAAAAATGGTTGTAAGCATGTGCATGTTTGAACGTATAATCCACGTCGTTGAGACCTATTTCTTTTATTCTATGGATGTACAGCTCATCGTTATCTTCGTGAATGTTTGGTGCCTTCTTCGTCTATGTATTGCATTTCCATCGGCCCTTTATTTGAATTTCCGTCCTCTGCAGGCAAAACGAATCAGAGGGAGCACCAGACACGTACGTGGTGCTGCAAGTCATAGGATATGCACCGATATTTATCAGTCAATCAAACTCAGCAACCGTTTTATTACCACAAGAACGCAGTTTAGACTGAGATCCTGTCGAGTCTAAGAAGGTGCACAACTTACTTGTACATCAAACCTTGGGGCACGCTTAGTCCAGCTCAACGAGCACACGGCCATCTGTCACGAAATCGTCCTTCTCGCAGTACACTTTCTGCACCATGCCATCCTTAGGCGCGCGGATCATGTGCTCCATTTTCATGGCCTCCATAATCACGAGTGGCTGATCAGCAGTTATCTTGTCACCCGCACTCACGAACACCTTAATGATTTTGCCTGGCATCGGCGTCACGATTTTGCTGTGCGCGGCAACGCCTGCGCTGCCCTCCGCTGGGTCAAACGACATCAATGGGACGTGGAACTTGTAGTCGTAGCGCTGCGTGTTATCGTCGCAGAAGAGGTGCAGGTTCTGGCGATGAAGCACAGCGGTCCCGCTGAACGTGCGATTGTTCACCAGAAGTTTAAAATCTCCATTCTTGTCAATCGCGCCGCTAACTGCAAGGCACTTTTGAGCCGTCTCACCGTCTAGTAGAACTTCAAAAGCGTTCTTCGAAAGACATTTGACAGTCATCGAAGCCTCGTTGTCATTGTGGCAAAGCCGAAGTTTTCTTTCCAGCTTTTCCAATGAGCGAAAGTGTACAAGCGAATCGTCTGACCACGGAGAATGGAGTTCGCCATCACGGGTTCCGGCAATGTGACACTTTTGCTGCTCAAGAAGAAGCAAACTCACGGCTCCAAGTGCATTGGCGTAAGGAGGGCACACTCCTAATGATCCAAGGACCTCATCGCCAAACTTGTCGAGAAAACTCGTGTCGACACCGCCCTGGCGAAACGCAGCGTGATCGACTGTCCGAGCCACGAATTCGATGTTTGTGGGAAGGCCCACGATCTGGTACTCATGCAGCGCTTTGACCATCTTGTCTAGTGCGGCTTGGCGGCTATCGCCGTGCACTATCAGCTTGGCGATCATTGGGTCGTAATAAATTGACACTTCGTCGCCCTCCACGATGCCGGTATCCACACGAACGTCTTCTGACGTGCGAGGCAAGCGAAGATGCAACAACGTGCCGCTCCCAGGAAGAAAGTTGCTGTCATACAACAAGCAGCGATTTAGAACAAGTCACTAACGAAGCAATCCGGAACGAGGCACGTAGACATAACACGTATGAGACGTACTTGTAAGGATTTTCGGCGTAGATACGCGCCTCAAGAGCATGCCCATGAATTTTGAGATCTTCCTGGCGAATCGGGAGCTCTTGGCCGGCGGCAACTTTTAACTGCAGCTCGACCAGATCTTGCTTCGTGATCATTTCCGTGACGGGGTGTTCCACTTGAAGGCGCGTATTCATCTCCATGAAGTAGAACGACTCATCCTCATCGAGGAGAAACTCCACCGTGCCAGCACCAACATAGCCAACAGCTTTTGCTGCAGCAACAGCTGCGTCGCCCATTTTCTGGCGCAATGCCTCCGACATGTTGGGCTGCTCACGGAACACGTTATAGACAACGCGTTAGTCAGCAACACCCCAAAGCAGCACACGCTCAACATCAGCTTGCGCTTACAGCTGGAGCTTCTTCCAAAACCTTCTGATGCCGGCGCTGGACACTGCAGTCTCTTTCAAACAGGTGAATGACGTTACCGTGTTTATCTCCAAAGACCTGGAGCTCCACATGTCGAGGCTTTCTCAGGTACTTTTCAATCAGCACTCGCCCGTCCCCAAAAGAGGCTTCTCCCTCCCTCACACAGGCATCCAGCGCTTCTTGCAGATCGTTGTCTTCATCGACAATTCGCATGCCTTTGCCTCCACCTCCCAGTACCGCTTTGATGAGCACCGGGTACCCGATCTTCCTGGCTTCCCTTTGCAATGTCTCAAAGCTCTGGTCTTCTCCATGATATCCAGGAGTGACAGGGACACCCGCCTTGATCATAATGTCCTTAGACGCGCTCTTGGAGCCCATGTCCTCAATGGCTTTGACCGGAGGACCAATGAACTCGACACCAGCCTCTTGGCACGCACGAGCGAACGCCGCGTTCTCCGACAGGAAGCCGTAGCCTGGATGGACTGCTTCAGCTCCCGACTGGCGGCAGATGTCCAAGATCTTGGGATAGTTCAAGTAGCTCGCACTAGCAGCTGCAGGGCCCAAGTGGTAGGCCTCCGTCGCCAGCTTTACATGCTGCGCGTTGGCGTCAGCGTCGCTGTAGACGGCCACTGTCTCAATGTTGAGCTTCTTTGCCGAACGCAAGATGCGCAGCGCAATTTCCCCGCGGTTGGCCACGAGGATCTTGCGGAAGCTGCGTGGCGACGTGGACAGCAGCCGCAGAGCTACAGACTTGCGGGGCAGCGCGGACTGGAGGCGGCACAAGCGCAGCATGATGAGGGGGGAGACGACGCGGAATGACAAGTGAGGGGCAGCTGCTTGAAGTACCAGGGAGTTCGTTCAAGAAAGGGCTCTGTTCATCCTTGCGATTTGATGGGATGCACTTGAAGCAGTAGCTATTTCCTACAGTCGAAGGGAGAGGGGGAGAGTGGGGAGGCTGGGCTGGGCTGAGGACGACCCTACTACCACTTGGCTGTGTACGTGGTCAGTAGCTCCTGGTCTACCGGGGGGCACGAAATGTTTGCGGCCTGGAGCAGCTCAGCTGAGACCGTCGAGTCAAAGACTTTGGGACTCTGAAGGTACACCTCGAACGACTCGATAGCTGAAGCTAGTTTTTGCAGCTCCAACGGAGCACTCTCCTTCGCAGCGACTTGCTGCACACTGCGCTTCCATGCCGAGTACTCCATTGTGGCCATGTTATCGCGTGTTGCTGTCGCAGCCACAAAGAAAGCAAAGAACGTGCGACTCGCAACCGGAAGCATCGGGTTCTGAATGTGCAGCGTCCGTCCGAGCGCCTCGATTGGTCGGCACGCAGCGAAGTGGACGATTGCCCGCGCTGCATAGTCCACTGGCGTCATGTCGAAGTACCAGTCGGCGCGATCGGGCACGGCACCGAGACTCACACATCCTCTGAGCAGCAAGTAGATGAAATCGTTGGCATTCCACTTACCGCTAAGCGAGGACGGAGCCATGTTGCCTGGACGAAGAATCGACACTGGAAGGCCACGCTGAGCGGCCTCGTGGCACATCTGCTCAGCTACCCATTTGCTTTGCGCATAGCCATTGTCGAGTTGATCCGACAGATCACTCAAGTCAGCGGTCTCCACGAATTTGGGTACAGCCATCGAAGATGGGAATACTCCATTCGTTGAAACGTAGTGGACGGGCTTGACGCGAGTCTCGCTCAATCCGTTGGTCACTGCAAGACGCAACACTTCCTGAGTGCCCAGCACATTCACGCTTTTCAAAGCGGAATATGGCTTCACCAAGTTTACGTCCGCACCGTTGTGCAAGATCGCGTCGATCTCAGTTGCCAGCATCTTATACGTGTCGGCATTTAGCCCTAGCAGCGGCTGCGCGAGATTGCCCACCACCGGAACCACGCGACTTTCCAAACACAACTTTTGCGATTCATCGAAAAGCATATAATCCTTGAGTGCTTTCGTGATGCGACTCATTGCCGCATCCTTATCAGCAGCTCGGACTAAGCAGAAAACGGTGCTTGTTGAGTGCTTCAGTAGAGCGTGTACAAGATGAGCACCAAGGAACCCGGTTGCTCCGGTCAAGAACAGGTTGCGTGGAGGTACGCCCGCCATTTCCACACGGTAACGACTGTACCCAGCTTTACGTGTGGCAGCAGGGTAAATCGATGCATCCAACACTGCTTCCAAAGGCAGAACCACCTTCTTCTCCGCCTTCTCAGTGTCGGCGAAAGTGCCATCGTTGCTGGAATTACCAAGGGAATGATCGATGAGCGATGCGATCGCACACAGCTCAGGAGACGACAAAATGTCTGCCAACGTCAACTGAACGCCAAACGTGTCTCGGATGCTCGACACCAATCGTGTCGAAAGCAAACTGTGGCCACCGACATCGAAAAAGCTTACCTTACGATGCAAAACACTGTTTTTCTCGAGACGAAGTAAATTGGACCAAATCGACGCAAGCCTAATCTCAGTGTCGGTCTGCGGTGCATTTTCCGGATCCACTGAAAGATCAATCGATTCGTTGCGCAATTTCTTGGCTTCCTCGATTGACGGCATTTTCTTGCGGTCTAGCTTACCACTTGCACTGTTGATCGGGAGCGCATCGAGTTGCACAAAGACGGACGGGATCGCGTAGTGCGGGAGCTTCTCGCTTAAGAAATCGCGAAGGTTCGATGCACTTGGCACCTTTTCCCAATCTTCTGGTACAATGTACGCAACCAATCGCTTGTCGCTACCCTCGTTCCCTTCCGTGAGAACAACTGACGTGGACACAAGGGGATGCTGAGCCAAAGCTGACTCGACGGCCCCCAGTACCACACTGTATCCGCGAATTTTCACCATGAAATCGCAGCGTCCGATGAGCTCAAGTTGACCATTCGCCAAGAAGCGTGCGCGATCACCTGTCCTGTATACAGTCTCTCCTGGTACGGCGTACTTCACAAAGCGCCCGGCTGTTTGCTCCGGACGATTGAGATACCCGATGGCCAAACAGGGGCCACCAACGTACAACTCTCCAGGTACTCCAACAGGGACAGGATTGCAAGTGTCATCCAACACGTACGCTCGCACATTAGGCATCACTTCGCCGCAAGAAGCATACTTCGTGGACAGTAATTTATCATGGTCGGACATTGCAGTGAGATTGACTGCACTCACATCATGACATTCCGATACGCTGTAAAGGTTCTGCAGCTCGCACTGAGGAAAAAGATGAACGAAGCGATCACGCAACTCCATCGTCACAACTTCGCCGCAGAGCCATACTAGCCGCAATGTTGACATCTTCTGCTGCAGTACCACACTTGAGCACGTATCAAGAACTAGCTGCAATAGAGATGGCGTGAAGAGAATACGTGTGATCCCGTGCGTGTCGAGATAATCCACGAGTTGGACGGGGTCGTAGATTATGTTGTCTGGAATGATGTAGAGTGGTTGGTTGCCAAGCAATGGCCGGAGCAACTCCCAAACAAAAAACACGTGGCATGCCACTCGGTCGTCTTCTTTGAACGGGCAGTGCGTGAGGCGCCAGTGGTAAGAATGCACGGCACCGCGATGAGGACAGCAAATACCTTTAGGGACCCCTGTGGTTCCCGATGACATGACCACGTATGCCAGATCATCCGGGTGAGTGGCCGCGCGATCAGCCGGCATCGGCGGAATGTTCTTTCGAGCCAACACTTCGAGCCAATCGTCGTCCATTTCCAGCGCAGGCTGCCAGGTTGGCAGGCGGCTGCGAAACTTTTTCTTGGTTAGCACGATGATCGGCTTGGATTCCTCCATAACACGTTCAAGAAGATCAGGTGGATACACGATCTCCAGCGGCATGTACGCACCACCGGCCTTTAGTGCTGCAATGTAAGCGATCACAAACTCAATGCAGTGCTCCATAAAGATACCCGAAATGCAGTTAGGACGCACACCAGTGTGGAACAGGTAATCGGCAAGTCGTTCACTTTGCTCGTCCACTTCACGAAACGTCAATGTTCTGCCTTCGTAATGCACAGCAATGGCGTTGGGCGTCCGCTTGGCTGCCTCTGCGAACTTGTCGTGAAGACATTTTTCGGACGGATACGACCCAACCTTCGAGTTCAATCCATCGATCATAGCGCGTGACTCCACAAAGGCAGACGTAGACACAGGAAGCAGTCTTGCAATGAACTCCCGGGCGAAATCCGGCCGCGTTTCGGCATTCGTCACGTAACTGTGATCACCAGCAAACAGCTTGAGCTCAAATTTTTTGTCGTCCGAGCAGACCCTTTCCCACTCCTTCAGCGAGTCCACCGGAGCAACTGGATCGTCAGTTCCGCCAAACACCGTCACACCGCAATGAATCTTTACCTCCTCCTTCTGCTTAAACCAGCACACGACGCCATGAAGTAACTTCAGCTCGCCACGCAGAGCTCCCGGCATTTGCACTCTCGGCAGCTGAATGTCTGCACGTTCCATCTGCTCTTCAAGTATCTCGAGTGAATCTTCGTCAGGAACCACGTCGCCCAAATCCTCAGGCAGTTCCTTCCTGCCAGGCCACGCAGCTCCTGAAAAGAAAACATGGCGAGGGGTCGGCAACTTGCGCTCTTCGAGGGCATGCGCAAGTGCCAGCGCCAGTAACGAGCCAAAGCTGTGGCCCACGATCACGAACGGTTTACCAAAGAAACCTTTGGCCAGAAGAGCGCAGATCCCATCCACGAGCTCATTCACGAGCGCAACAGCGTTTCCCCCCATCGCGTCAGTCGTTGGCCACGTCCAGTGAGAAACCCACAGCTCCACGTCCAAACCTGCAGCGTGAAAACTCTTTTCCCACTCGAGCAACACCTCACTCGGAAACCCTCTGCTGTTGGGCAGCACCAGCAGCCGAAGGGTGGCCTTTTCTAGCTCTTGCAAGCAGGTTACAGCTACTTCGGGCGCCATCGTCGTGCTGCTTGAAGCGAGTGGAGATACTGGCGAGTGGGGATATTGCGTACTTAACGACACAATCAGTCCTGCTCTCCGGCGGCGTCCGGCAGCCAATGGAAACGCAGGATGTTATCGTGTATTAAACAGGATCGTGACACTCGTAACAACGCAAAGCTGTAGCGTTTGAGGGCGCATTCCGCTGTACAGACAATTGGATACTGTGTAACGCAGGGAGCCCGTTACATGTGGTTGACACCAAAAATGGGTCAATGAGAGCATTATCCTGGTTGACCATGTTCTCCAAATGTACCTTGCTTTGTAAATATTGGAGGAATGCTTTGTCAAAGGCGATATTTCATTCTGTCTGTTCATTGGTTGGTATAGGTCATTATGTCAGCAAACTAAGCCCCCAATCGCTGCTGGACGCGCGCAATGGGTGGCGAGCAAGTAGCTGCATGACGTATTATTTGCCGGTTGCTATCGCTACAGTAAAAGCAAAGAGATTAAATGTCCTACGTATACCATGAAGATCGAAACTACAGGTTACAATTGGTCTACTTTAACCCTTTTTACTACGCACCTTTGTTGTGTCTTTGATTCTGTTTAAATGAAAGCGCTCAGTGATGAGAAGGATGCCATTATCGAGTTTTACCCACCTCCAGCCAAACGGCCCCACTCATTGATACACTCCAACCTGTTCTCGCCCTCTGAGCTTCCCTACCAATCGATCGATAGGCGGTAGTCCCAACAACTTGTCTGTCCTGACCAGGTGCTACGCAAATAAAACGTGACGTCAGACGCTTCTCGCACCTATTCTTGTCTAGGTGCGAATCCCGTACCAGCAAAACCTTCTTCTGCATGCACGTGAACGTGAGTTACGATGCACCAGTTTAGCTTATGGCCAGCAAAGGTAGCTTGTACGTTGTCAATACCAGCGTCCGGTGCCCCATTACAGTTGGTTCCGAACAAACAAACAAAATAATCGATGTGCACATGATGTGCTTGTTTTGTCGGCTTCTTTGATATGTTAGTGATCCATCCAAAACCACGAATTCTGCAGTGAGTAGAGAGTGTCTGTACGATCGAGTGGGACCGGTAGAAAAGGAGATGTGGGCCAACTACCGGGTTCCTTGTGTTGCTTCTGGGTGGTCTCGAAAACACAAGCGTTGCACGTATTGATTTGAGTTAATCCACATTTGACCTCCTGAGCTTTGCATCGATCGAGGGCTCGGCTGACGGTAAACAATTTCTTCTTCTTCGAAGATTGTGACAAAAAAGCTGCGGCCCGACACTGACTGGCGTGCGACTTCTGGTTCGACCGACCAGTGAGTGGTCTGAAGTCTATCGAGCGCGCGCAAAGGTCGAGTTCTGTGGCTCTATCGCTCGGCTATGTCCGTCCGCCTTCGAATACTTCGCCTTGTTACGTCGATGGTGGACGCTTCGGGTGCATCTGCATCCTGTACTACAGTAGCAGGGCCGCGGAATGGCACTGCTTCGCTTCGGGAGTTCTCGACTACGAACGCGTATGCACATACAGACATGCAGCAGACAATGTGTACGGAGTGCTTTCACAAACTGAGCATCGGACTCGCCACATTGGGAGGGGGTCGCAACTTTCGTATGCAAGACGTGCTACGATCTGATCGCCACGTCCGCCCCGACTTATTTCAGAAATGGCTCAGCAGCCACACGCAGAACAAAGTGCGTGTGCCGATCAGCTGCCTCACTCGCGTTCATTGCCCTATAGTGCATGTAATCCATCCATCCACGCGACGTGATGCATCCACCGCAACAGCTGCGACGGCGGGCGACTTTAGTGCTGGTAAGCACCGTCACGGCCAGTAGTCTGCTGTATGTTGCACACGGTAGAAACAGCGGCAATCGCATGGCAAGGGTACAGAAGGAGGTGCGAGGCACAACCACGCGCCACTTGGGGCCGAAGGGTGCGACAGCGAGCCCAAGTGATCCGCCACCGCATCTGCAAGGCGGCAGTTGGTCGTGCGCGTCCCGACGACGCCAGCGAGTTGACCAGGTACTCGCTTCTGCACGAAACGCATCGACGGTCACCACCGACAGGAGGGGGCACCACCGAGAGACGCCCCGCGGGCACAGCTATTTTCCAACTTGCTGCAGCCCCCAACAGGTATCTGCTGACCGTTTCGTGCCGGAACAAATGAGGACCTACGAACCCGCGCACAAGTATCACCGCTACCCTCTCTCGCTACTTCCCACCATGGGCCTCGACGACACGAGGTACTGCAAAGTGACAGTCCGCAAGGCTGACAGCAAGACGTCACGCTTTCGGGTGCGCCGACAAACGGTCGATGAGCAACAAGGTCTGTCTTGCTCCCTTCGGCGCTGCACGTCGGACCAACCGCCAGGGGCAGTGCCTCGGCTACCGTCGTATGCAGCGTACGCTTCTGCCGTCCATGCCGATCTGAAGGAGACCCAGGACGACGACGACGACGACGTCGTGGACATTGCCGTGCTGAGCGAAGATGACTCGCTCATGTCGTCGCGCCGTCGTGCGCACACCACGTCGTCGTTGTCCTCGTCCGCGCGGCTGTCGAACGTGTTGAATCCGCTGTCGCGCTTGACGACTCGGTTTCGGGAGCACTCGATCGACGCCGAGTTTCGCCAGACGGGTGCTTTGTCTACCTCGAGTACGTCGTCGACGGTGGACTTGATGGACCCTCGGCTGTTAATGGCGACTCCTCCGCCCATGATGGACGTGATCAGTTCGTTTCTCGAGCTCGACACGGACGGCAACGACGATGCCGTCCGTCCTACGCTCGAAGACGCAGCGAGTTTGATGGCCAAGACGCCTCCGATCCCGACTGGAATGACGCTGGAGATGCTGTCTCCGGCAGAACTCAAGATGTCTCCGATTTCATTGCACCTGAGTGATGTATTGCTGGACAGTGAGTGTCGACAACGACGTCCGTTGTCACGCGCGGTGGGGAACTATGACGACAGAGAAGCAAGTGAAAGTGAGATGGAGGACGACAATGCAAGCAGTGCGTCGACCGACGACTACGGCGACGACGTGACGGACCACTCCGTGGACATCAGCAGCATTCTGTGTACACGTGAGCAAGCCGTGGCGAACTCTGGCGCGTCGCCGTCCAACGCGAAGCGATTCCGGCCACAGTTCCGGACACCCACTGGTCGGAAGCGCATGGGCGGCTCGGCGCGCAGTATCCGTGGACTTAGCTCTCCGCCACGGATGGTGGCAAACCAAGTTGGTCGACCCCGCAAGGCCACTGTGCCTGACGCGGGCGAAGGTGCTACAGGTTTCGGTGCCGTCCACTTCCACGACAACGAGGTTCCTTCTGTGCCCCTGCATCACGGGCAGGAACTGCACCTGGCCTTCCGAACCACAAAGGGACAACTCACTCAAGTGCAGGGCCACTCGGTTCGACGCAAAGGCCACAAGAACCCCTTTTCGCGTCGCGTTCGCTGCAACGCCGTTCAGCCGCACGATGCGTTGGCAGACAGCGACACGCTTCGCATCATCGGCCATACGACGACGAACGACTTGCTATGTGGCGGAGATTGCGTCTCTTTCGCACGCACCAATGGGACAGTGCTGCGGATGCAGAAGATGTCGAAGAAGCTCACGTTCAGCAACAAGATCGACGAGCGAGCCAAGTTCGTTATCGTTGGCGTGCCCGATCGCACCCCCGTGACCTCGACGTCCAAGTTCTACCTCCGCAGTGTGTACGACAACAAAAAGACAGTGGGCTACTTGGCATCCCGACGCGAGGATCACCCGGGCTGTCTCGCGATGTACGTCCACCGCGATGCTGAAGACAACAAGGTCGAGCCGATTCAGTTTTTCAAGCGCGACCCGGGCCATGGGTTGGCGTTTGGACTCCGCCCGCAACAGTGGCTGTAACCCCCGAGCTGGCACGATCGAAGTGTCCAGTTGAGTTCTGCTCCACGATGTAGTGGAGATAGATGACGATGCAATGCACGCACGCAACGTGCATTTGAGGCTGCATAGTTGCCGTCGTATGTGTCAAAGCGTAGTATCTAATACAGTGCAGTGCCCTGTTTTTATGCGTATGCGGTTCTCCTGATACTTCTTCGCTCTTTCGTAACAGAGCGACGTGATCGCAAGTGCACGTTGACCCCGCGCCATTCAATATGGCGAAACTTTTAGATGGCAAAGCGTGCAGCAAAGCGATTGAGGCGGAGCTCGAGGACTTGATCCCGACTCTCCGTGTGACGCCGACGCTCGCGCTTTTGCTCGTTGGCAGCAACCCGGACTCGAAGACATACGTGCGGCTCAAGAAGAGCGCGTGTACCCGCGTTGGAATCACGCCCCAAGTGCACGAGCTGTCCGAGTCCGTTGCATTTGACGAACTGCATGCTCTCATTGAGAAGCTCAATGCTGATGCCGCCGTTCACGGCCTTCTGCTCCAGCTGCCTCTACCCGCGCACCTAAAGTCTCACGAGGCGGAGCTACTGGAGACCATCAGTCCTTTCAAAGACGTGGACGGACTCCATTCGTACCATTTTGCGCGACTGACAGCGCAAAGGACAACGGAACACACAGCCGGAGAAAAGGAGGAGTTGTACTTGCGGCCGTGCACACCCGCGGGCTGTTTGGAGCTTCTGGCTCGCAACGGGATTGAACTGGAGGGCAAGGACGTGGTTGTCATTGGCCGTGGACAACTTGTTGGGCTGCCGCTGTCGCTCATGCTACTGGCTGCAAATGCCACAGTGACGAGTTGCCACTCGAAGACCAAGAATCTGAAGGACAAGGTCCAACAAGCTGACGTTGTGTTCGTGGGCACCGGTCAGCCTGAACTCGTCAAGGGCGACTGGCTCGCAGAGGGAGCGGTGGTCGTGGACGTCGGGATCAGCTACGTGGACGACGATTCCTGCCCAAAGGGGTACAAGATTCTGGGCGATGTTGACTTTGCTGCCGCTAGTGCGCGCGCCTCAGCCATCACGCCTGTTCCTGGCGGTGTCGGACCCATGACGGTTGCCATGCTTTTGCGGAACACGGTCGAGTGCGCCAAGTTTGCAGCCCTGACCAACTGATCGAGGTATTTGAGACCTGCCTCGCGCACACGCACAAGTATTGCAATGTTTTCGACGTGAAGGTCACTTGTATACTCAATCGTTTGTACAAAAGCAGCCAACTCGTTGTAATGAGAGACGTGGGGTTCTCTATAGGTTCTCTCGCGTGGAAAACTCTAGCCAATCTTCTTGTCACTATGACCGTCGCTTGTCAGACCACATAAATCAGCAGCAAAGCCTGATGCGACTTACTGTACACCGTCGGATGTGAGATTGTCGGACCGCGCGAGGGAAGAATTGGTGCCGTCGTAAGTGAAGCCGGCAAAAGTGTACGAGAGGTTGCGTAGCGTGCTGTTGCGCTCCGTGCTGCTTATGCTCGCCCCCGTATTGTGAGCAGCGCCATTGCACATACTTGCTCTAATTTCCGCGGTTGCGGCAGCAATGGCCGAGTAGTTTGCCGAGTCAGTCATAGAATCCCTGCCGTCGTCACTCTTTTCTGGCATATTGTCGCTTGGTACGCTAAGACCTGCACTGTCGATTTGGGCGAGCGGTAGCTTCGTAAACTCCTCCTCAAAATTAGCTGCATCGATTGGATCCGTGTACTGGCATGGGCGATATAGCGGCTGCACCTGGCGGTTGTACAGCAAACTCCAGTCAATCTCCGCAAAGAATGGGTGGTAGGTAATCTCACGGACATCAATAGCGCCGAGACGCTTGGCCGGATCGCGTGTGAGTAGGCCTTCGATCAGATTCATAGCCTCCGGAGTTAGTCCCTGCGGAAACTGGAGCTCAGCACCACGAAGGCGGTGAAACAGCTCCTGTCGATCTTGTGTATACCACGGTGGCCGTCCAGTCAGCATCTCGTAAAGCACCATACCCAAATTCCACCAGTCCACAGCTGTGCCATGGCCAACACGGTTAAGGATCTCGGGTGGCAAGTACTCGGGCGTCCCACACATGGTGTACGTCCCACTAAGTTCGCTATTGATACCTTCTTTCGCCAACCCGAAATCAGCAAGTTTCACATGACCATCTACGTCCAGCATTATGTTCTCCGGTTTGAGATCTCGATAAACAATGCCCTGCTCGTGCAAATGAATCAGTGCCAACACAATCTCGGCGGCGTAAAACTTCGCCATAGCCTCAGGGAAGCATCCGCATCGACTTAGGTGAAAGAACAAGTCTCCACCTGGACAGTAATCGAGTACGAAATACAGCTTGTCCTTTGTTTGGAAGGCGTAGTGCAAACATACAACAAACGGGTGCGATATGGAGGCTAAAACGCGACGCTCGGTCCGTGTGTGTTCCACTTGCTGCTTTTTCACAATCGCCTGCTTCCTCAGTATCTTGACGGCGAACAGCTCTGACGTGTGCTCCTTCCGGACAAGCAGCACCTTACCAAACGACCCCTTTCCAATCATCCTCAGCACGTCGAACTCCTTCAGCGACACCTTACTACTTTGCCGCCTGGAGCTATGCTCGAGCTCAAACGCTTCATTATCGTCGTCCGCATCCTGAAGAATCACGCTCCGCCGCTCTTCAGTTGATGTAAGAGCGTCAAACGGTACATTTTGACGACCGTCCATCGGTTCTTCTTTCGGTGACAATTTCCCATGCGGCCTTTCACCGCGTGACTGCAGCTCACGGTACTCCATCGAGGCAGCATTCGTTTTTCTATCACAACATCTAGCCATGTCAGCAGAGTTTACACGAACTCTGCTGCCAAACGAATTTGCACCAACTTGACCAGCTGACCCAACGCGAGTTTTACGTCCACGTGAAATGCCACTACCTTCTTCCGCCTCGTGCAACATCGGCTCTGAACCAGTCTTACGCTCCGACGTACTTAACAGCGGGGGTCGCCCAGAACCCGAACTCGAAGAAGAGAACCCACTGGACGAATTCGATGGCACATGGGAACTAGACGACAATGACGACTCCTCAAACACTGGCGGCTCGTTCGCCTTGTGTGTAAGAAAGTGGCGGATGAGACGCACACTTGCGTGGAATCCGCGGTTTCCACAGCACTCGGTATATCGGTCCGTGTCAACTTTGCAGTTCTCGAGACTAATTAGCATCAGCACTTCTCGCAGCCACCTGTCCAACTCCAGCTGGCGCTTACGCAAAAAGCTTGGGTCCAACGAGCGCATCAACGTCTTTGTGGGAACCGCTGAAACACGGACTGATTCATTTTTCAACTGATGTGCGAGCTGCTTAAAGTCGTGGAATCGGCGATAAATCGTCCACTGCTTCTCACTCACGATGCACTCGATCTCCAGTCGAAACACTGCGTACAACTTGTGCGACACAGGTTCCCGCGCAAACGAAAAGCTTTTGATGCGGTTCAGGCGACCGGCTGCACCTACGGGCAAGTATCCTGTCGTGCTGCTGACCTGCGCCTCCGAGTTCTTAAAGTTCTCGGCCCACATCCGTTCAAAGTATTCGCGTTCGTCCACTGGCTGTACCGGTCGCTGGTTCTTGGGCAGTTTCGACGCACCGTCTTCGTCCTCGTCGCCGCCTGAGAACTGGAACGAGTCGTCGAGCGACAGCAACGACGACCTCGAGCTCACGGACAACACGGAGTCCGCGCGCGTCGAGCGTTTGCCCGTGGACCGCAGCTCATTGCTCTCGTCATGATTGAGGATGTGGAACGGGTCGCGCATGCGCGGGACTGCTGCAGGTGCCACTGCATTGAGCTCGACCCGTCCTCTGGTGCAAAGAGCGAAAACGTCGGGAGCGGAACTGGTTAATGTCTCAGCGCATCCCCTGAAGGCAAAGAAGAACGAAACGAACGACACACGACGTACTTAGTGGAGGAGCACGACGACGACGTGCCGCCGCTCGGAAGGACTTTGCCCACGGGCACCTGAGCGTGGGCTGGAAAGTCCCGCGAAGGTTTCCGCTTCTTGTCGTCGCTGCGGGCCGATCTCATGAGGTGGTGACAAGAAGTTTAGTGTGATCAGCAAGTGGGCGTTGGACTTGAGCAAGGCGAGAAAGAGACAGTGGGAGGAGCAGGAGGACGTACACCATGCTGGGTCTCAAAAAGGTGCGCCAAAAGCGGGTCCGTCGAGTCGCCCCCAGGTCAGCTGGAGTTCCCCTTTTTTCGCCTTCCGCCTTTCCCGATCGAGGATACACGCACGTCCTTGTAGCACGAAACTAAATGTCGCGCGATATCGGAAGATAGAGGGAGCCCGCATACGGTATAAGCCTCTGCCAGCGGGAATGGTACACTATGCTGCGACACAGGGTGTCAGAAACAGATGGTGCAGAGCCGACGGCCTTCGCCTCATTGTATGATCTGGCGGCTGTACCCAGACGCGGCCGCCAATCCGAACGCCGCGGGTTGCTCCAGCGTCAGGCCATGGTCCAATGAAGTTGCGATGTGGTTAGGAGGAAGTGTCGCATAGAACAGCGCTACTTCTAGGCGGGTTTCCGTCCGTCGGATCAATCGCTACTTCATCGGGAGGGAAACATCGTGCACGAAATCGAGTTGGGCGCCCATTTACCCGAAATCGAACGGCATTGCTCGACGATCAGGATTGGCACACTCGAAAGCACTGTCGCTGTTGAAATGATCCTCATCTCGTTCGCCGAAGCGCAGTTGCGCCGACTCGTGCGAAGCTCGCATCGAACTTGCGGCGGGGTGGGTTGCACCTTGTTGGCGCTAGGACTCAAGCACGGCACAACGGCAATGCCAACGGTTGATCTATAGACCGATGCTCGAGACCGATGCTCGGATCAAACGCACAGTAGCTGACCCTCGCTGCCCATGCTTGTTGGCACCGATGTTTCTGATAAGTGATTGTCGAACGTAGGAGCTATGGCAGGCACCTCGTTTGGCCGAAAACGCTTGAGATGGTTGCACCAATGTACGGACGGGCCTTTGAGCCAGCTTCTTTCCGGCCAGCTGTCTCTCGCTTCTTGCTTCCATTGGTCAAAACAGTCCGTCTTTTCTCCTGCATTCGTAGGTCGACACAGGTTGTGATTTCCACGAATCACTCTGCGCACATGTGGTTTCGTCCAATCATTGCGCTTTCTGGTGAAACACCGAGCAAGGGGTCACAGGGGACTGGCCACTCGAAGAATAAACGGGAGGAAAGGCAGAGAAGCAGCCGCAGCAGACAATGGCGTCGTCTGGAATGGACCCCATCGACGTCGACAGTATCATTGAGAAGCTCCTGAGCGTGCGGGGCGCGCGCCCCGGCAAGCAGGTGAACCTCACCGAGACAGAGATTCGCGGCCTCTGTCTGCAGGCGCGCGAGGTGTTCCTGGCGCAGCCCATTCTGGTGGAGCTGGAGGCGCCCATTAAGATTTGCGGTACGTCACTGCGGCGTCGCCTTCTGTGATACGTCGTGAATCGATAAGGGGAAGCGGTGATGGCTCGACTGCATTGTGGGGGTCTCTGAACGCGGGTGGTCGCTGTATGTGTGTGTGTGTGTGTCTCTCTCTCTGTAGGTGACATCCACGGTCAGTACTACGACCTGTTGCGTCTCTTCGAGTACGGCGGCTTTCCCCCAGACGCCAACTACTTGTTTCTCGGGTACGTCGCCGAGGGGCGTATGTCGACTCGTTGCTGTAGTGTAGGGGAAGAAGGAGAGGGAGTAGTAGAGACTGATGGATTGTTGTGCGCTGGACATGCACAGTGACTACGTGGACCGTGGCAAACAGAGCCTCGAGACCATCTGTTTGCTGCTGGCATACAAGATCAAGTATCCAGAAAACTTTTTCATTCTGCGGGGCAACCACGAGTGTGCATCGATCAACAGGATCTATGGCTTTTACGACGAGTGCAAGCGCCGCTACAACATAAAGCTCTGGAAGACCTTCACGGACTGCTTCAATTGCTTACCTGTGGCTGCAATCGTCGACGAAAAGATCTTTTGCATGCACGGAGGTCTGTCGCCCGAGCTCAGCCAGATGGAGCAGATCAAGCGCTTTGTGCGCCCGACGGACGTGCCTGACACGGGTTTGCTCTGCGATCTGCTGTGGTCCGATCCGGACAAGGACATCATGGGATGGGGCGAGAACGACCGTGGTGTGTCGTTCACGTTCGGTCCGGACATTGTGAGTCAGTTTCTTAAGCGCCACGACCTCGACCTGATTTGTCGAGCCCACCAGGTGGTGGAGGACGGCTATGAATTCTTTGCCAAGCGCCAGCTCGTTACGCTGTTTTCAGCCCCGAACTATTGCGGCGAATTCGATAACGCCGGTGCCATGATGTCGGTGGACGAGACGCTCATGTGCTCGTTCCAGATCCTCAAGCCAGCGGAAAAGAAGCAACGTTACGCTTACAATGGCCTGGGCACGCAGCGTCCAGCGACCCCGCCTCGGAAGTAGGAGAGGTGGAAATCACAGTGGGTTATCTAGCTGGCCTGCCTAGCGATTGTCGCTCAGTCGTCAGCCTGCAGTCATCCATCTTCATACGCGTGAGTCGATTTCCGCTGATTTGATAGCGCTAACTTGTTCGATTCAACATGCACTATTTCTTTTTTCTTGGGAACAAGTGTCAAAGCTCGACGTGTATCGATCTGCGAGCGGATGTGGCACACAAACGCTGCTGCTATGGCTTGTGGCTGCATTACGAACTAGTGCTGCGTGACTTGTTGTATGCCAGTGATGCGAAAGATGCAAAAGGTTCACGATGCAGCCGAACTTTGCGAGGGGGACATTGCCTGACTTTTATCTGCACCGACGCGAGGCAGTTTCTCACACTGTGTCCATCGATCAACCTACGAGCTCAACCGACCTGATTTTTTGCTTTGGCCCAACTTGGCTCGGTCAGCGTGCCGCATGTTGCCGGACTGGTAGTGAAATCACTTGCCGAGCAGCAGTCCGGCCCGAATGAGTTACACGCAGTCGTACAGAGCGATACCTTAGCCTTGTAGTGCACGTACCTGCGATGCTGAAATCCTCTGGTGCGCCTCGCCCCCCGACAATGCAGCACACTGACATCGAGCGCAACAGACACCACACGTAAACGCTCAAACTGCCGCGAGAGGACGCAGACCGACTCCACTTGATAAAGAGCTAAACAGCAGCGCAACAATCGATGGGTACATGGGTCGCCAAAGCAAGAGGCTGCATGAGCAAGGCAGTGTATGCTGCCCGCAAAGGCGGTCTACCATGGATCCACCACCACGGTGTGCAACATCCTCGCGCTACGTGTTGTTGCAGGTGCTCGCGTCTGGCCACAATGACCAAATCCTTTGTAGACGTGGCACGAACGCCGCGCGAGCGGCTTCGTCGTCGAATCCAAGCACGGGGGGACAGGCTAAGAGCTGCAAAGTCCAGTGAGCGAAAACACTGAGGCTGGTGTGGGCTTCGATACGAACTGACGCGCGATCGCACTACGCGCGCGCTTCAATGCCGCGACGAGTAGGACATTGTCAGCGGCAAAAAGCCGCAACCACGAATGAGCCGACGATCGAGCCAGCAATAAAGGGGGTGCGCTGAATCGACGCAAGAGGCCGGCCTTGTCAACGATCAACCGCCTGGCCCGTGATCTTTCTTTGTCCTCCTGGAGAGGAAGAGGCAGCTGCGCTCGCCAGCGTGCGACCGTGTTGTCGCGTAAAACACGCAGAGACTGCCATTTGTTTCGTTCTGAACCGCTACCACGGCCTCTGTCTCGATACACACTCGTGTCGAGCGTCCTCGAGACATGCAAGTGGTCCCCAGCGTTGATGTAGCGCGTCGTGGGCGTGACGAGTCAGAAGTGATCTTGCGTGACCGGTCGACGCAGTTGCGATCGACCGCAACTCGACCTATGTGGACATTCACGTAGCTAGTCTGACTCCCAGTCCTGCAGAATGCATACATACAAGTTCATTGCGCTCGTATAGCTTGACTGACTCTTTTGCTTTCCTGTACTGGACCCCATCGCGCCACGCATCACTTGACGTCGTCTCCAGGCGCTACTGATGCCACGGGACATGCGTCTATCGCTAAGGCGCTGGGACCCGCCCGCTCTTTTTCGATGCTGCTGTCAATGCATAGCATATCCGGATAACGTGTCGAGCATATCGCAGTGAGTGCGTGCCCTCCATAACGCCAAGATTCGGCCATCGAGCAGAGACAGCAAAGCAACCGATCACACTGTTGTGGCGCTTTGCACAAGTGAGCGAAAGTTTGTTGCACAACAAAACGTACCCGAAAGTGTGTGTGTATGTGTGTGCAGTGTGTAGTGGGTCGATATATTTCCACGACAACTGCGCCTTCCGTCCCTTGCAAAGTGGGCCGCCGACTACAGTCGCGCTCTCTCGAGCGCCACAGCGCTCGAAACCCCAAAGAAGCTGCCGTCGTCCCAGCTGGGGACGGATCAGGTCTTACCGCGCGACTCAAAACAACGCGCTGGCCTTTCTTGCGCACGCACTGAAGGGCCGCGTCGCCCCGGCGCTAACACACGGACGAAGTCAGGGACTTGGGCCATCGACCGACACACCCGCAGCGCGGACGCGACCATCACTCTGATGCAACTCATGGCCTCCGTCAAGGGCGTCGCAGCGCCTTCCAGCAGCAGCAGCAGCAGCAGCAACTGCAGCAACAGCAGCAACAGTAGCAGCAGCTCTGCGCTCTTCGCGAGCGTCTCGCTGCGCGCTCGTCGCCACAGCGCCAAAGCCGACGACGGAGGCAGTAAGAGCGGCACGAGCTTCCGCCGCAGCTCCAGCAGCGCGAGCAAAGACGGCCACCGCCGCGTCGCAATGGACCCGTCGGTGGCCGCTGCGCCCCCTTCGCAGTCGCGACCCATTGCCGTCGCTCCTGCGGTCCTCGACACAGTGTCAAAGCGCTCGCCGCCCCGTGTGGCCGTGCGCTACGGCGACACGATCCGTCTGTTTGCACGCAGTAAGTACGTGCCCGCGACGGCTTCGGGAGGGTACGTGGGTACGGTTGCCGGCAGCAAACGGTTCCGGACGGCCAAGAGCGGGCAGAAACAGGACGAGCTCGTGTGCCTCCCTCCGGTGGTTCCGTGCGGCGTGAAGCGCTTCCGGTCGTCGACGTTCGTCGTGTTGTCGTACAGCGGACTGGGCGCGGGGACGCCCGTGAGCTACGGCGACGTTGTGCTGCTAGTGGACGAAGACGGACGCGTGTGGAACAACAAAATGGGCGTCGGCCCGAGCCTCAAGAATGGCTGTTTCGGGCCGAAAGCGTCCAACACACCCGGCGAGATGCACTTGTCGTTCTACCAGCTACAGGCGGCAGAAGGAGACGACGACGACAGCAGCTCGAGCTCGTCGGACGATGAAGACAGCTTTGTCTTTTTCAGCAACTTGGCCAAGACGACCAAGAATATGGCCGAGACGACGTTTGGCCGGTTGACGCAAGTGGAGATGCAGGTGGCAACTGCAGCGCTGCAGACAAAAAGCGGGGCAGTCGTGTACTACGGCGACCGGAACCTCATTATTGACGTGGCGGATTCGAATCGCATGCGGTCCAAGTTCAATCGCGTGATCACGCACTTTAGCAAGCAGCAGGAGTCGACACCTGTTCAAGGTGGTTTCTTACGATGCGACGGTCGCGGGAAGACCGTTCTGTTTGAGATGCACGGTCACGAGTTGCCAGCAATCAAATCGATTGATGTACAAGACGTGCAGACGAGCGATGATGGCCGTCGAGCATTGGATAAAGCTTGTGACGACAAAGCAAGCCCTCGTGTGCTGGTATCGACAGCAACAGGCGTCGAGGTAGGCGTTCCTCTTTTGCTGCAGGATCTACGGCGCTCGATGTCGCTCGAAGTGACATTTTCGGATGGCGGCCGCGTCGGCGTGTCGTGCCGGCGATTCTTGAAGCACGAGGGCGCTGCATTTTATCGCCTCGTGCTCGGTGGCAAACGTCCCATGCGCATCCTTGTCCGCGCTACACGTGCTGTACAACGAAAGAAGATTGACTTGCGTGGCAAATTGTGCGGCACGTACCGACAGATGCTCAAGCTGTCGTGTGGTATTGCCGTTGCGTATTCGGCTGCAGCTTCGGTGTTCACGCACGTGTTTGACTCGGTGACGGTACTTCCTGCTGTATATATGTGCGGCCTTGCTGGGGTAATGGTCTTGTTAGTGGAAGTCGCACACTTGGCAAAGACGGCGATGGAACGGAAAACTATGTCGGCAGGTGTCGAGAACGAGGATCAGTCACGCGATTTCCTCGGCAACTGGGACTTCACGGTGGTAGCACTTGAAGCGTCTGAATCTGAACGGTATGAAAAGACTACCAATACCACACAAGCGTCACACTTGGTGAAATCGGTGCCTACAGCCTTTTTGGTAGCGGAAAATGGAGATACTGCCAAGGCCACGAAGCGCTATGAGAACACGCTGGCATGGAGAAAGGAAGTGATGGCAGACTCGATTCTGACCATGCCGCAAACGTACTACGATGCCATTAAAGCGTACGTGGCACTTGTTTATGACTGCGTATGTACTTGCTCACAACTGACGGATGTGTATGTTTACAGGAACTACACGCAGTTTCTGCACAAACACGACAAGCTCGGCCATCCACTCTACTTTGAGAAAATTGGCTCGATCAACATGCCCCAGCTGAAGAAAGCCGGTGTCACGTCGGACGCGTTGTTCAAGCACTATTTATTCGCCATGGAGTTCATGCTCAAGTATGCGGCTCACGAGATCTGTCCGTGCGACGCATGTGCTCCCAGCGAGACGCAGAAGATGTGCATCGTACTGGACGCGCGTGGAATCGGTATGCGCGATATGGGCGGTGAGGCGTTTGAGTTCATCCGTCGATGCACGGGTGCGATGCAGTGCCACTATCCGCAGCGGTCGTTCAAAATCTTCATCGTGAATGTGCCTTCGTGGTTCGGTATGGCATGGAAAGGTGTGAAGCCTTTGTTGAACGAAGCAACTCGTGCCAAGACGAACATTGTGACGGAGAGCGAGACTGCTGCCGCGTTGCTGGAGTTCATTGACGCTGAAAATCTGCCTGTGGAGTACGGCGGCACGTGTTCGTGCTCTGGTGGTTGCGAGACGCACTCTTCGTACCAGCTTCTGCAACGAGCGCTGGTGGAGAGTGTGCTAGAGTGCAAGTCTTTCGAGTCCAAAGACTTGCTACGTGCGATCTCGCTCGAGCGCTCTGGCGAGAGCAGGTCGAGCGAAGACGAGTTTGCATTGGCTGAGGATGCTGTAGTGCCGCTGTCGCTACTGCCTGCAGCGGGACCAGTGAAGCGCCGTACGACTACTACGACAGCAATGGATCGACTCCCTCGATACGGCAGCGGCGCTGAGAGTAGCTGTATGCTTGACGGCGTCGATGACGAGGGCTTTTGTCGATCGATTCCGGCAAATTACTTTCGGGAGGAAGTCTTGAAGGCAGGGTACCTGCTGAAGCGCTCACTGCGGCACAAACAGTTCAACCCGATCTGGCAGCGCCAGCTCTTCGTCCTCCATCCCCAGTATCTTCGCTTTGCCAAGGCCTTGGACTCGGAGATCTACCAGATTGTCTCATTGTCCCACGACACGATCGTCCAGAAGACAACGAAGCAGAACAAGAGCTTCGAAATCATTACGCCACGCATGGCCGTTAACGGTCACTCGCTGCTGCTCTGCACGCCAACATCTGACGTGCTGAACGGCTGGGTAGATGCGATTTCGGACGCAATCGACCAGCTGAAGAATAAGACGTCGGTGGCAGCAGTCAGTCCTGAGTGGTCTCCTGTTGCTTCACCGAGGACAAAGCAAGAAGCCAGTCTGGACACCGACAACCAGCCGACATCATTTGACTCGGCGAAGTGACGTTAGGATTACAACGACGCAAAATTGTGGATAGATGCTTGTAGACGCGTGGAAAATACAAAAGAGGTTTCTCACTATCGAATCAGCTCCGCCCGGTCTCGATCTACGGAGCGTCGTCTGTAGCTCCAGAGGATGTTTCGTTGCAAAGGGCCCGAGGTGCGCAGTGGTCCCCCCTTTCCTTGTTTGGTGGCTGGCGAGTGGAATTTTAGACGACTTCTAACAGATCCGTTGTTCCTCGTGAGGTGTCGTTCAGAAAGTCTCGTGTTCATCTCGCACAGGCAAAGCTCAAGTCGCAGGCAAGGTGGCGCTGGTCGTGGCTCCCTCGGCGTACCTGGTTGCCGAGAATGGCGATGCGGCCAAGGCGTCGGAGCGGCACGAAGCCACGTTAGCGTGGAGAAAACACATGCGACTCGACTCGATCCTGGCAGTACCTCAGATACACTACGACGTCATCAAGCGGTGCGTGAGCTTCCGGCTGGAGTTCCTATATTGCCCCTGTAACTGACGTGGTACAGCGCTTCGCTCGCCGTGTGTGTTCTTCCCCTTTTACAGGAACTACACGCAGTTTCTGCACAAACACGACAAGCTCGGCCATCCACTCTACTTTGAGAAAATTGGCTCGATCAACATGCCCCAGCTGAAGAAAGCCGGTGTCACGTCGGACGCGTTGTTCAAGCACTATTTATTCGCCATGGAGTTCATGCTCAAGTATGCGGCTCACGAGATCTGTCCGTGCGACGCATGTGCTCCCAGCGAGACGCAGAAGATGTGCATCGTACTGGACGCGCGTGGAATCGGTATGCGCGGTTTGGGCGGTGAGGTGTTTGAGTTCATCCGTCGATGCACGGGTGCGATGCAGTGCCACTATCCGCAGCGGTCGTTCAAAATCTTCATCGTGAATGTGCCTTCGTGGTTCGGTATGGCATGGAAAGGTGTGAAGCCTTTGTTGAACGAAGCAACTCGTGCCAAGACGAACATTGTGATGGAGAGCGAGACTGCTGCCGCGTTGCTGGAGTTCATTGACGCTGAAAATCTGCCTGTGGAGTACGGCGGCACGTGTTCGTGCTCTGGTGGTTGCGAGACGCACTCTTCGTACCAGCTTCTGCAACGAGCGCTGGTGGAGAGTGTGCTAGAGTGCAAGTCTTTCGAGTCCAAAGACTTGCTACGTGCGATCTCGCTCGAGCGCTCTGGCGCGCGTAAACCAAAGAGACGCCAATGTCATCGGGACCGGTGTTTGCCACAACGGATGACTCCTGAAGTTGGTAAAGAGAGAGAGAGAGAGGGCCGACGTCCAATGAAGTAGCCGGCTCTGTTGCGCAGATTTCGTGAATGAAACGATCATCTGTGACTTGTAGTGAGGAGGGGGGAGGGGCGTACCCCGAGACAGTAAACTAGAGCTCAATGAATGTTCGATACGAGTACTGATTGCATCAAGTGGGCGTTGCCTAAAAGCTGGACACTTCAGAGTGCCCTTCCTGCTGATCTCGTGCGAGTAAGGCCTCAGTAAAATGCCTGAGCCGCTAGATCTCTTCCAAAGACTCGACTATTGCCATGGCACTCCTGGCTTTCCAATCCAGCCCACGTCAGTCCAAGCCTCAGCCTGATAGCAAAGACAGCGTCCTTTAGCTGGAGCCCATCCGTCGCCAGGACCGTAAGCGGGGGAACAACGCAGCGGTTACTCGGCGGTTACGTTACAGCTGGCAACAGCTCCGCGTCGTCGCTTGGGCGACCGTGCCTTCATTCAGTTTACCCGCCGTACTTGTAGAGACTGCAAGATTGGACGATCGTTGGACCAAGGGCGCACATAACGAGCCGCGGGTCGATGAAGAGGCGACAGGCGGAATTGCCACTGTGGCTCGTTGGACGCCAGCGCTTTTCTCAGGCATGTATGTGCTCAAAGCCGAGTGTGTAATGAACGCTGCTGCGCGCCGACACAGCTGGAGTAATGCTGGTAACACTCGGCCACGACGTTGGCAACGCTTGCAGCGACAACAAAAACGTGTGTGGCCACCGAAAGGATGTAGCGGTGCGTTCTGTTGGTCTTCTCGTGAGCTGCAACCAGTTCTTTGTGCACAAACTCCAGTAAAAGTGACGGCTCATGTCATTGCACTTGTTTTCGTTGACGCAAGGCGCTCGTCAGACGAAAAGCTCGCCAGCATTCTTCCGCTGCTTTCTCACGCCTCGACCTTTTCTTCCTCGTTTGAGAGCGACGGACGTGCAGTTGCTGCCCCACCACTCGACGTTTGCTCAATAGGATCTGTCAAGAGCTTCCCACTGCTGCCAACTTTGTGGCGGTAGACGACCGACTTCCTCTCGACATCTAAAAGCCGCATGCACAACCGCATTAGTGCTGCAGTTGCGCGAGCTACGGGACAGCATAGTGCTGCTTACCACTGCGAATAAGCTACAAAGGATCAACAAAACTGTCACGTCGACGCATCTGCATCTGAGCGGCGACCGTAACTGATGGATACTGAAGAAAACGTGGCCATGATGATTACGTTCGATTGGACTGACTCTCGCGCGAGGACCGTCACGCCCGCCGTAGCGCCATTCCTTCGTCAGCACGCGCTCTGCACCAACCAGGACCACCCGTCGGGGTCACAAGAGACGCAGCACGCAGCTTGAAGCTTCGGCACCACGAAGAGTCAGACTTTCCGAGGCGTGGCGACACACGCGGAGCCAGTGCTGCAAACGCGTTCCCTATCGTATGCCACAGCACAGCATTGCAGAGAGTGGCAAGAGCTGCTCCCACGCGGCAGATCGATCGTGTGCTCGCGCGAACAACGACACGGTGGAACGTGCCGGCACATCGATGGCCGCCTCAGGAGCGGCTTTAGCTTCCGCGCAACGATTTGTCTCGCGTGTCATATGACCACGAAGAAGCGCCGATCAAGAACAAGTCGCCAGCACCGCGAAGCTCAGCCATTAGCTCTCCGCATCGCAAAGTCTCTTGCGACAAAGCAGGACACATCGGAAGCCGAGCATCGATACAATGGTATTGCGGTAGACGAGGCGCCTGATGCCATGCGTTCCAAAACACATGCGTTGCTGCCAGATGACTGCGTAACACGTCGTGGGTCAGTCGTTGTCTGTCCCACGTGTCGTGTCGTGGCGTGCGACCGACCGACCGACCGACCGATCGATAGCTAAACACGACCGGACCCAGCGAGGCACGACGACCTCCCGCTCGAAAATCGACTCTTAGCAAGCGCTGCCGCCTTTCTCCACCGCTTGGACAGACGACGACAACGACAACGACGAGGACGGCGAAAAATAAAAATGCGCACGCGAACGGGCTCGTCTGCTGGCGCACGAACTGTCGTCGCGTCGTCGCGTGCTACGCCGACCGCTGTGTCGCTGCTGACCATCGCACGGACTCGCGCAGCCTCAGCGACGAGCGCCGGCGATTGCGACGAAATCTCATGCCATTTGCAACGCAAAGCGGCGGGCAGAACCGGAACGACGCGCATGGGCTGTGGCTCCGGCCGCGTCCATTGACACTGATCCTCTGCGCACGACAGCAGCCGAGCGAAAAGCGGTGTGTGTGGGGGCCTTCGAACGGCTGCAACGGGACGAGCGCATCGCAGCTTCGAAAGCGCTGGGAGGACGGACGGCCGCCTGACCGCTTTGGTCCCAGTCGTCCGTTGGCACAGTCTGTGCCCGTCGATGGCGGCAGTCCGTCCACTTGGGCTGTCGACAGTCGGTGGCTCTGGCTTCGAGCCGCATCTTCGGCTGCGACGACGACCGCGAGGCGCTGAAGTGCCGCGAGAACACGTGCGCGTCTTGTCGTATCCATCGCGTGTGTGAATGTATCTGTGTGTCTATGTGTGTGTGTGTCTATGTGTGTGTGTCTATGTGTGGGTGTGTGTGGGTGTGGGTAACCCTTCCGCCCCATTGACGTGGACATTGCTCTCGGGCGTCCACTCGTGAGCTGCCACTCGCCACCAATGTCAGCCCGTCATGCTGCGTTGCTGAGTCTCTGCAGCCGCACCGAACCGTCCACTTCGTGCGGCCTCGAAACACACCTTTTGCCGTCTCTACATTCTCTATACCTCTTCCCCAGAACGCCGTCGTCTCCTCCGCCTGCCACCGCAGCATCCGTTGTGCTCTGCTCAACGAGTCAGTCGTCTGTCGTCGACCCGTCTCTGCTCTGTCTCTTGTTCGAGGAAGTGCCCATCCCGCACGACGTGCCGAAGCCGTCTCCATCGCCGGGACGTCCGTCCCACTGTCACGTTGTCGCGCGGACGTCGCTCACAAACGCACTTGCGCGGGCAACGCGCGACGCCATTCGCCCTCGTGGAACGCGCGCTCTCCCGTCACGCCCCAAAGCGCAGTCCGTCCGTTCGTCTGTCCGTTTGTCGCCGCCTGCAGCCGCCGCCTCGACGGGAAAGAGAGCGAGCGCACGCATGGGCTTCTGTCTGTCCAAGTGCCTGCACAGCGACATGGCGGCCGAGCTCGAAGCCGAACTGGACGAATCCCGTCACAGCTACGTCCAGCACCAGGCCGTCGAGCAGTCGACGTTTGGCACGACGTCTCTCCTCGCGGTACGTACCACAACGCGCTCGACGCCCTATCTCGCTCAGCAGTAGTCGCGCGGTCTAACGTCGTTCTCCTCTTCTTCTGCTTTTGCTTCTGCTCTTCTTCTCGTGCTTTTGCTTCTGCTCTCCTTCTTCTTGTTGCTGGTGTTGTTCGTCTTGTTCTGTTTGGGTCACGTGGTGCTGTCACGTGGTGCAGGCCGATGAAGTCGTGTGTCTCGAGGTGATTGGCGAAGGGCCGTCGAGTGTGATCTACAAGGGCTCGTACCGCGGCAGTGTCGTGGCCGTCAAGAAGATGAAAATGGTGTCGCTGCCGCCTAAGTCGCTGGCGAGGGAGAACGTCGAGATGGAGCTCGAAGTGGAAGCGACGCGGATGGGCAGTCTGCGGCACCCGAACACTGTGCTGTTCATGGGCGCGTGCCTGCAAGAAGACCACTTTTGTATCGTGAGTGAGTACTGCACGCGGGGCTCGCTGTTTAATGTGCTGCACGCTCCTAAGGCATCGGCGTCAGGCAGGCGGCACAAGCGAAAAGACTCGGAGCTGACGTCGCGGGCCGTGTTGACCGCGAGTGCCTCGGGCAGTCTTGGAGGCACGCCGGCCAAGAAGGTGAATCTCAAGTGGAGTCTGCGGATACGGCTTGCACTAGGAGCAGCTCGAGGACTGCTGTATCTGCACAGCGCAGACCCGCCGCTTGTCCATGGACAGCTCAAGAGCACCAACATTCTAGTGGACGACTCGTGGAACGCCAAGCTGGCGGACTTTGGCACGAGGCGCGTGGCCGAAGCCGTTGGCTTTGACCGGAGCAGGATGGACAGCATTGACGTGCGCTCGGCGTTATTGCGGTGGACGGCACCAGAGCTCTTGAGACTGGGTGAGGAACGCGTCCTGAAGGGGGCGTTTCCGAGCGACTGCAGCAGTCCTCAGGCCGTGGACATCTTTAGCTTCGGACTCATCATGTGGGAGCTCACGACAGGCGAGTTGCCATACACAGACATGCGCTCGAACGCTGAGATCAGCGAGTACGTGCTGTCGGGCTGCCGACCAATTATGAAGCCCGGTCAGTGCAATATGAAATGGGCGGAGCTCATGGCTCGATGCTGGTCGCACAACCCGTCCAGGCGACCGAGCGCAGCAGAGATTGTTTCGTCGCTCGAGAGCATCAGCAAGGCAGACGCAATTGCCCAATCGGCCAAGAAGGAGACGCGTGTGGTGAACAGCAACCGCGCCGACTACCGCTTTGCAGATAAGCCACGCTCGCGATCGCGAGAACCGTCTCGGACGAAGAACAACGTGCGCGTTGTTTCGTGAGCTGCGGCTTGGCTGCTGCTTTTGCTGGATCGTGGCTGCGCACAACAAGCAAACTCGTGCGTTTGTCGTTGCCTTATGTTATTTACGCTGTGCGGAGGATGCAGACCAGCAGCGCAGCAGGAAAGACTTGTAAAGTGTACTCGTTCATCAAGTCCGGACTGAATTGCAGTGACGCAGGTACTGCAACGACTCTCGAGCGCAGCTACGCCAATCCAGAACCTAATATTATCTGCACGATCATCGCTGTCAACTTGATTGCTTGTTACTGCGTCTCCTTGTCGGGTTTTACAAACGGTGTGTGGTACTTGGCAACGTGTTCCTCTGCGAATTCGTCGCGTAGCATAATGGAGATGCGGCGCGTGCGATTCACGCGCACGTGCTCTCGAAACAGCTGTGTACCGGGCAAGATCGCGTGCATGTAGTGGTAGCGGATCCTTCCAGTGATCATGTACATGGAGCGACGTGGCAAGTACGCGTCAATCACCGAGTCGCCGTGCTCCTCTTGGAACCGCATGATGCTTGGAGACAGCAAACTCAGCCCGGCTACGACTCGACCGGAAAACTTGACCGAGTCGACGTGCGGTCGAATGTACCCGTCTTCGGCCAGCTCAATCACATGCACCGCTGGAAAGTAGTTGAGCTCCTGGGGCAGCACCGCAGCTTCGCGGACCTTTTGCAAAATCCGCAGCGTCTCGGCCGACCAGCGCGAGCGTTCCATCTCCTTGAACTTGACAATCACATTGTCCCAGTGGTTCTCCTCATACCGGCGACGCCTGAGTCGGGAGGTACACTCGTCCGCCACCAATCGCTCCTCGTCTTCCGTGACCACGTCCAGCACCACTTGCAGCTCGTCGTCGCGCAGCAGCGGGTCGTGACAGCGCGTCGTGTCGAGATGCTCTGCATGTGGCCACAGCGACTGCGGAGCGGACGTATAAGAGGCCGCAGCGCTTCGTCGACATTGCTGCGGCCGTGACAGCGAGCGACCGAAACGACGCATTCCGACTGGAGGCCACGCGCGTGTCAGTCGGTGAGTGAGTAATCAGTCTATGGGTGGGCTTCGTCTGTTCCTTTTTCGAACCCGTGCAGTGCGTTAGATTGGGCTTTTTTATTTATTTTCGGTACCCTCGCACCTCGTCGGCGTGCGGTTGGGCCGGACGAATCAGATGCACGTGCATGTTAGTCGCGCGATAGACGCTGTCGAGACGTGCACGAGGCACTGGTTCGACTTGGAACTGCTGCGCCGATAGTAGCGAGAAGAAGGCTGCGCCTCGGTCGCCAGCAAGTCGAGCTTCATGGGCAGACACGATGAGCGTGCGGGGATGCGACAACTGGACGATGGTCTGGACCAACTTCTGCGAGACATCGCCATGACCGTACACCAGGTCCGAGCACAAGACGACGTCAAAGGAGCGGTACACGCCGAGTGCCTTGTGGTCGCCCCACAGGAGCGCTCGCGCGCAGACGTTGCTGGGGATGCAACCGAGCGCCTGGTTCCGCGCAATGTTCACTTGAATCCAGGCAATGGCCAGGGGCTGCCACATCACAACACAGCGAGTCAGTGCCTAGACGACCACGTCACGAGAAGAACGAGCGAACGAGCAGCTGCATTCGCACCATGTCGGTTAGCAACACCTCCTTGGCGCCTAATGCAGCGGCAGCTAAGCCCGGCACGCCAATGCCACAGCCCAGTTCGATCACGCGCTTGTCGGCGAAAAAGCCTCGAGGGAAGTACGTCTCATTCGCTAGGAACTTGGCCAGCACCAAGGCACAGTCCCAGACTTTGGCTTGCTGGCCCTGCTTCTCGTGGAAGACAACGTTCTTGCCGGGGGAGAGCTCGAACGTGTTCTCCGTCACCACGTCTTTGCCTGCGCCCTGCACACGCCGTTGTCTCGCGGCTAGTCCCCAGTCCCTCTCTGCGTAGTGCTCTACATATTGCTCTGCTGTACGACGTTTCGCCTGTTGGGCCTCTGTGTCTTCGAACAGGTCGTCGCTGTCGATCTGACGCAAAATGTCCTGCCCGCTCTCGGAGCTGCTGCTTGCGTCGCTCATGCCAACGAATGGCACCGAACGGCTGGAAAAAAAAGAGCTCGTCAACAGACGGAACGCAAGCTCGTTCCCGCAGGTCCACTCGGGAGCGAGCCAGAGCGTACAAAATGGAGACGCTCGCAACGTTCGACACGGTCAGCACGGCGGACTGCGTCGAGGCTTGTCCCGTTGCTGGCTTCGAGTCTTCGCTGGTCGTGGCCACGTACCAGCTGCACAAGGCCGTCGAGAGTGGTGAAACGGGTGGTGACCGTCGCAGTGGTACGCTCCAGCGTTTCCAGTTGGACTGCAATGGGGCAACCGGTAGCACCGATCGGGTGGACGTGACGGTGTGCAAGGTCGAAGACGTTGCCACTTCGAGCGGCGTGTTCGATATCAAGTGGAACACACAGGCCATGGACGGCAGGGCGATGCTCGGCGTTGCTACAGCTGGCGGCTCGATTGAGTTGTACGAGTTGACGCAGAGCGGGGACGAGCAGGCGCTGCGTCATTCGGGACTAGCAACCGATGGAGATGCGGACTCGATGTGCTTGTCGCTCGACTGGAACAACCGCGTACACCCGAGTGCTCAACCGTCCATCTGTGCAAGCCACTCGAACGGGTACGTGTGTAGCTGCGTGGGTATATGGATACCCGTTGCACAGCGATCGCAAGTTGTGTTTACCACTTGTTGTTCCTGTGTGGCGGGACTGTAGTTACGTATCGGTCTGGAACGTCGCGACACAAGACATCGTCCAGCAAGCCAAGGTAGGCACGTGCGTCCATAGCGCTATCGACAGCGTGTCGTAACTCGACCCCGCGACGTTTGTAGCTGACTACGAAGTGCTTGACGGACGTGTACTGATCAGCGCTTTTCGTCTCTCGATCCTAGTGGCGCGCACACGACTTGTATGGCTCACCCATTGAAGCGTGGATCGCAGCCTTTAATTGCCACGACCCGAACCTGCTGCTATCAGGCGCAGACGACGCGATCTTGAAAGGATGGGATCTTCGTGCTGGATCCGCAGCGCCGACGTTCAAGAATACACTGCAGTACTCGATGGGGGTGTGCAGCATCCAGTTCCACCCGCACGATCAATGGTTGGTAGCTGTCGGCAGCTACGACGAACAAGTCGCGGTCTGGGACCATCGCAACATGACCCGTCCGCTCTCCGCGTTCGGTGCCGGCGGTGGCGTCTGGCGCCTCAAGTGGCACCCTGCTGCAAGTCGCAAGGTGGGGCTACGTGCATTTCAGCACTCTGCGAGCTGAACAGTGTGACACATCCGTTTCATGCGTGTCCGTTTGCTGTAGGAGCTACTGCTGGCCGCCTGCATGCACAATGGCTTTCAGGTGCTGGAGTTGGGGCCGAACAAGTCCTCGCTGCGCTTGGCAGCTAGCTACGACCGCCACGACTCGCTCGCGTATGGCGTCGACTGGTGGCAGCATCCGGCCGCGTTGTCAGCCAAAGCTCCAGTCATCGGTTCCACCTCCTTCTACGACCATGCTTTTCACGTGTGGCGTCAACCGTTGCAAGCAGGTAACTGACGTCGCATCGATGATACTGGGAGGGATGCTCGAGCGTCTTGGTCTTGGGTAAGTGGCTCCGTAACGGATTATGAGACGTTGTTGGACGCGAGCTGATGCATTGATGGGCGTTCGTTCAACGGCCGGACTCGAATGGAATCCCACGTGACACCGCCGCTGTGTTCCGCTGCTCTACGACGATGATGAGCACTAACGAAAACAACGCCTACAGTGCAAAGCAACTTCCAGCAGCAGCAGCAGCAGCATCGATAGCGCCGCCATCTCCAGTCGCTTGTCTCTGCACCTTTCCACTTGTGCCAACTTTCGACCGCCACATGCCGTCGAAGTCGAATGTCTGCTGTGCGTTTGGCACGTTGGCTGGCTGGTGCGCGTACCAGACTCGGCAAGAGCACTGCAACGGCCCCAGCGTCGAGAAACAAGCAGATTTGGGTCTTGAGGGTGTCACGACTCGGGTCGGCGGGTCCGCAGTAGCACATGTGCGACCACTGAAACCTGCTCGTGAAGTAATGGCGTGGAGGGGCACGCGATGAGAAGATGCAAGGCACGACTAGGAGTAGGTGCGCGAGATCTATCAAGGCGGATTGCAAGCGGCAAACGGCGCATGCGACTAGTTCTGGACTTTGGGCAGCTAATGAATACTACTACGTAGCAAACGTCTGACCTACTTCAGTGGACCTGATGTTTCGTTCGGGACGAGACGGAAACAGGACGTAGCTCTTCGTGCCCGTCGTTTTAACGGATGCAACACGAGTTGCATCGTAACGGTCTCAGTTATGGGACTTACTGCTGGCTCGTTGATGCGTAATCATGAAACCTACCAGCAAAAGTACCCACACAACGTCCCATTGTAGATGGACCTTGCCATGTTCTAAACCTGTAAGCGAGTCTTGTTTTTGCGTTGCAGCAGGCCCAGGTGGCTGCAAAGGGGCGAGCCTGCTGCATGACATTGGCGTCAGAACAGTTTCATTGCGAATGTTGTCGTTGCTGATACGATTCTCGAATATGGTTGTACTGTAGGATGAAAAAATGTCCGGCAGTGTGTGCTAATTCGTTGAGATTGGCCATAAAATGAACCAACAAAGCGTCCGATGAGTGATGGACGCCGCAATGGGTGGCGAGCAGACAGCTACACTTCGCATTCGTGAAGAGTTTCAATCACATGAAGGTGTTCACCGATGTATGTAGATGCGATACACTGCGTGTAACGGGGCAAGCCTGGTTTATGTCATTAGCACGACTTGTGTCAATGTGAATAATAATAGCACTCTTCAATCTGCAGTGAATAGGTAGGGGAGTATAAACAGAAAAGGTACTCACTGGCGCCAGCCAGCACTTTACGAACGACGGATACAAAGCCGTCACCAAGCCCCCCTCCCGATGGGGGAGGGGGGGCTCAATCTCAGCCGATCGAACCCCCAGCAAGCGAGGGCAGTACCACACTGCCTTCGGTACCAGTTACGGGGGAGCGTCGGCTGAGCATCCCGTCGCATCCGACCGGCCCTGTCGGACCAACCGTAGCCCCGGAGGCAGACGAGGACACCGACATAGACTCCCACCTACAACGTGCCCAATCGACCAGATCCCTGCCTAAGGTTACGTCAGCTTATGAGCGTATCCCGGCTCCCATTGTTTCCTCCGGCGCTTCGCCACACGCTGGAGCAGAGCATCCGTCGTCGGATTCGTCGCGAGCTCCGACACATAGCAAGTCGCCTCGTTCGGGTGTGTCAGCTTCTAACGCCTCGCCTTCTCAGGCGTCCCACCGCGACATGTTTGATGCCCTAGTCGAAGCGATGACGGCATCGCCCGGGCCGGGGTACGTTGATGTATGGCGTCAGACCGTTCAGGAGCTATTCGAACACGTATTTTCGAGGCTTCCGGTCAGTTTGGAAGCTTTGCCGCTAGAGCGAAAACGCTTTCCACAGCTAAAGGGTCCGGAGTTGGACGGTCTCCTTGATTTATTTCGGCAGTGCTTTGTCCGGAGTTCCGGTACATACACCGATTGGACGAGACTTGCTACTAAGGTAGGCAAGGATATTCTGCTCACCAAGTGGGCCTTCAAGGAGATTCTTAGAAAACTTGCAAGCCAACACAAGTGGGCCATGGCGCCGGTCCCCGACCTTTGGGCGCGGGTGGTGCGCCAAGGAGCACCGCCAGTCCAGGACAAGCAGAAGGGGCAAGCATCTATTGCCTATGATGACTTTATGTTTGACCCAGCCAAATATTCCATGGCAGAGGCGACGAAGCTCAAAGACATCTGTACCGCCCGTCTTGGCCCTGCTCGCGCTCATCGCTTACGTGAGGGCACAGATGACGAATGGCGAGTCATTGTGGGCATCGCTGAAGGTCATATTGCGTGTCGTCGGATGCCAGATTTTTTGCGATCCGTCTTCGACAGTGGGGAACGGCTTCGGCTTTACAGCACCATCCAGGCGCAGGTCGAAGGACAACTGGTGCTAACAATCGGCAGAGGTCGTAACATTCCGATCAGCCGACAGACTTCCAATGGTATCACGGCGATGATACTTGAATCCGCGGAGCTTCTGCGGGTCAGCTTGACGGACCTTCATCGCTTCCTAGGATTAACAAAGGCCATCAGCTACACTCGTTCATCCCGGACAATTCACTTTTACTTTTTCTCGAGGGAAACAGCGAAGCGTCTACAGGATGTACAAATTCCCTTTCAGGGAAGAGTGTACACGTTAGAAAACGCTCATCAGCCGGTGCGAGGGGCAGTGTGGCAGAATCAGCGAGGCCCCGATGGACGATCGGGCCATTCACGTACTGAGTACACAATTTTTCTGCACAACGTGACGCGATTTAACGAGGTTGGACGCATCGCGGCGTACTTCAGGTCCAAAATCCCGACGGATTTTGAATTTGAAGATATGGACACTTGCACTCCAAACTCTCGGACGTCTACAGTATGGAAAGTTACCTTTTCTCTGGCGGGATGCCCAACGTTTCTTCAAGGGATAGTCCGCCTTTTATGGTTTGGTACTTTATTCATCATCAAGCATCCCAACGTGGGTAGAAGCCTTCAATGCCTACAGTGCGGCACCCTAGGCCACCCAGCCGCCAGGTGCCAATTTACGGATGCGCAGCTAAAGGGGCCAGGAGCTATCGAAGTCACAGAGGCTGAGCTTCAAGACGTAGAGGACTTGGCTAAACCATTTCTTAGCCCGGAGGAGATGCGGGAGATGGCTAGCAAACGGCTACAACTTCAGAGAGCAGCAGACGAGGCGGCTCAGGCAGCTGTCACACCGGCGGCAGTAGGTACAACTCCCCCACGGCCGCCTCAGATAGTGGAGCCCCAGCGCACTGGGGTGTCCATTCAGCCCGTTTACACTGCCATCCCCACGCAAGCGGGCTCTTCGGACCCTAAACCGAAACCTCGACCGGAGCAGCCTTGGCTGACACGTCCTCTCCGAAGTGGACGGCGCCTGTGGCCCTCACGCAAGCCACCGGTAACGACCAGTAGCCTCAGCTCGGGCGGTTTCCATGTTCTACAAGATACGGAGCCGGAGGTGGAGCAGAATAGTGCGGGGTCTGCACAAGCTCCTAGCTCAGACGGTGTCACTGACGACCCTCCGGTTACATCGGAGCCTCACCCGGACATGGCATTGGACGCCACGCGGGTCAGCCCTCACCTATCGTCTGAAGATCGCGTCCGTCGACAAGACTATAAAAAAAGAGGGAAAGCGCCCGTGATCTTGAACCCGACGCTTCTCGCCAAACAACGTCTCGAACGTAATACCTGTGTACGGCTGGTTAAACAGCAACAGAAAGGCCGTTGTACTGTGATCCCGATGGATCCTCGCCCAGAGACCGGACCTACTCATGCAAACGATCTGATGCGTATTCTAGGCTTACGGGAAGTGCCCACCCAAGCCACTGGGAACTGTTTGGCGATGGCAATCGCTCAAGCTGTCGCAGATTCCGCTTTGGACGCACCAATTACGGCCCTGGAGCCTCTCACGGCTAGCGTTAAACGGGGTATCCAGTACGCTGGGCTGCTGAATCTGGAGGGTCAGCTTCCACACGACCTGAGGGTCAACATGTTAAAAAATGTTGGACGCGGGTGGCCGACAATGACCCGAGAGGAGTCGGCAACTCAACTGCGGTGGTTTTTAACAGACTATGCAGCGACTCCGTCAGACAGAGACACCATGGTATCGGAAACTTGCTGGGGAGGGAGTGACATACTCGGTATGGCTGCTACTTTTCTGCAGCGGGATATCTTTGTCATCCACTTGGAGGGTGACAGCGAGACGTGGAGGTGTCGAAAATATCACCCGACACAGGTGCAGCTGCACGGTCGAATATTCGACACGGCCAAGGAATACCCTCAATCTATTATGGCTTGCATTGAAGATCTACAAGCGGCTAAAATTGAGGTGACAGACACATTGCCATTGGTGCTCCGTTTCTGGGGGCACCGTTATTCGGCATTCCTACATACGGACAGCGCGGCAGACCTGACATCCCTGATGGATGACTTGAACGGTCAGACCGCAGAGCTGTCACAGGATTCAAAGCTACCTGCGGGAGCCGACGCTCCACAGTCGGCACTACATGGGCCGGCTTCATCAGATCCTGGACGGGCTTTATCCCCTTTCAGCGGCGCTAGCCAAACAATACGCTAGGCGTGTACTCGGGCCAGGGGAAACACAGTCAGGCGTTGGTATTGCGCTCTTCGCAGCCGATTTCGGTTCCTGGGGAGTGCTTCGATGAATATATGGGAGTGACTGTGTTGGCGCAGAAACGGGGCCTCGTCGACTCGCAGTCTGAAGCGGTTGCCATGGACGACGACGGTGATTCCAGCTCCTTGGAGGCATCTACCAAAAAAAGGCAGAGTCACGGTCAATCCTCAACAGATCGAGATGGCTTCCCCAGACGGACGTATTAATCGGGAGGAGTGGTCATCAATTTGGTGGGCTTCAGGGTCTGAATGGCCGGTCACGGCTGAGACGTCATACCCTTTAGTTCATAGTGGAACGGAG